GTGCCTGCAACCAAGGTCCATGCCCTTGACCGGAATCGAACCCGGGACCCTTCAGTCCGCAGGCCGACGCTCTATCCACTGAGCCAAACCCGGTTCGGCTCTTTTTCTTAAAAAAAAAAAAATATTGATGTCAGAGAGGAAGGAGAGAGAGAGAGAGAGAGAGAGAGAGAGAGAGAGAGAGAGAGAGAGAGCGAGAGAGAGGGAGAGAGAGAGAGAGAGAGATTCACGATGAGAGAGCATCAGGGATCGGCTGCCTCCGCACGCCCCACCTGGGGATCGAACCCGCATCCCGGGCAGCTCGTCCGGGAAGGAGGGCGCAGGCCTTTGGTTTCCCAGAATCCTCCCCTCCTCTCCCTTCCCCTCCCCTCCCCTTCTCCTCTCTCCTCCCCTTCCTCCTCTCCTCTCCCCACTCTCCCCTGTCCTCCACTGCTTTCCTCTCCCCTCCCCTCCTCTCCTCTCCTCTCCTCTCCCCTCCTCTCCCCTCCTCTCCTCTCTTCTCCCCTCCCCTCCTCTCCTCTCCCCTGCCCTCCACTACTTCCCTCTCCCCTCCCCTTCTCCCTTCTCCTCTCCTCTCCTCTCCTCTCCTCTCCTCTCCTCTCCCCTCCCCTCCTCTTTACTCACATCCCCTCCCCTCCCCTCCTCTCCTTTCCCCTCCTCTCAACTCCTTTCCTCTCCCCCTCCCCTCCCTTCCTCTCCCCTCTCCTCCTCTCCCCTCCTCTACTCTGCCCTCCACTGCTTTCCTCTCCCCTCCCCTCTGCTCCTCTTCTCTCCCTTTTTTGTCTCTACCTCCTCCTCTCCTGTCCTCCCCTCCCCTCCCCTGTCCTCTCCTTCCTTCCCCTTCCCCTTCCCTGGATGGCGCACACGCTCCGGGCTCCCAGCACAGCCCAGGGCCTGCCCGCGTCCCCAGATGAAGCGGTGGTTTCCTCTCAGGCGCGCTGTCCCCGTGGCTTTTCTCCCCCACACCCCGCCGGGCCCCCCGAGCCGTGTTCACCGTGTCCGTGCATGTGTGGAGTGCCGGGTGCCGTGGACGGGGCGGACCCCGCAGGAACCGTCTCTGCTCCTTTGACAGCCGCCAGCGAGGTCCAGAAACTCACGGTGGTGCCCAAGTCCGACAACAGCATGCTGGTGACCTGCCTCCCACCCCAGCACTTCAACGGCCCCCGAGACGGTGACTACAGGCTGGAGGTCAGGACGGGGGCCGCCCTGGTGAGGGAGGAGTCCCAGAAGAAGTGCCACTTCCTGGTGGCGGACCTCCACTACTCCACCGAGTACACCTTCGAGGTGAGCGTGCCCCCGCAGCGTGACGGCTCCCGGGGCTCCCGGGCCTCTGAGGTCTGACTCCACCGCACCCCAAACGCCCTGAAAGGTGGACCCCAAACTTGCCGCCCCTGGTGCACACGACAGTGGTTTCAAGCAACAATTTGGTCAGAATTTTTTGAGCTTCAATAGGATATCAATATATTCCCTTTACTGGCTGATCTAGTCTATATTGTCATTATGTGCTTCTTACTTTTTAAAATTTATATATATACATACACACACACACACACACACTCTGAGTGGCCAGATTATCATGCGTTCAGAGATCATAATAATCTGACCATATGTGTGTGTGTGTGTGTGTGTGTGTGTGTGTGTGTGTATACATTTATATATATATTTCAGAAAGGAATGGAGAAGGAGAGATAGAAACATCAATGAAGAGAGAGAATCGGAGAAGCATCAATCGGCTGCCTCCTAGTGGGGATCAAGCCTGCAATCCAGGCACGTGCTCTTGATTGGATTTGAACCCAGGACCCTTCGGTCTGGCACTCTCTCCACTGAGCCAAAGCAGCCAGGGCATCATGTGCTTTTTATGTATAACTCTCGTGAACACGACCTGGAAGATATTTTCATCTTACGTGAAACGCCGAGACATTGGCCTCTTGTTAGGGAATTTAGCTCTAGATTATGCATCTGCTGATGAGCTTGCTAGATCCTATGCCTTCGGTTTCTTCACTCTTGTGAATTATAACTCGCATTACTGCTTACATGGGCTCAGATTTCTTTATATCTTGTTCACTGTTGAGTATATTCTTCTTAGCAATATTTGATACAATATTGACATAACCTTATAGTTTCAACTCTAAATTCAAGGTAACCAGTATAGTCTTAATAAAAATTTTTTTTAAAAAAAATCATTGTATAAGAAATAATGTATATGGTACATTATGCTATATAAAACTTACATGAGAGAAAACTCTTTTCTCTTTCATCTCTGATATTCAGGTCTACTACGACAATGGGGCCCATCATGGAATTCGAGATAGAGCTTCTAAATCAACATCCTGTAAGTCGTGATTTGGCTATTCATCATATTAACATTTGAAAATACAACGGAACTTACAATGCTTGAGTAGCTTACATTCATATCATGTTTAACTATCAAACACGTAAATTACATTTTCCATAAACGTAGCATTTTAGGTTGCCCCAAAAGACGAGCGTCGTATTAAAATACAATCTCTGAAATGCAAATCAAGGAATTCAATGACTAAAAGGAGGTTGATTTCATAAAATAATTCATAAAGGGATTAATCTGCATAGACTATTAAAGGATGATTGTATGTCAGGTCCTGGTTCCTGGTAGCAATCAAGCGTGTTTGTCTTGTGTATTTTAAACACATTTTTACGGATTTCAAAGAGGAAGGGACAGAAAGAGAGAGAGAGAGAAACGTCCATGATGAGAGAGAATCATGGATCGGCTGCCTCCTGCACGCCCCCTACGGGGGATCAAGGCCACAACCCGGGCCTGTGCCCTGGACCCGGAATCGAATTGTGACCTCCTGGTTCCTAGGTCGACGCTCAGCCCCTGAGCTGCGTCCGGCGGGCTCTTTTGCCTGTTTTTACGTTGCATTGCCTGTCTCGCTATTATTGAACTGCCCGGCTTCCTCAATGGTCCAGAAAAAGCCTTTTGCTGGGTGTATGCTTTGCAAATATTCCTAACGTGTTTGTGTCGGCTCTGAATCATAGTGGCAACAATCGAGACCCTGGGAATGGCGTGTACTTGGTCTCATTCTGAATTTATTATTATTTTATTATTATTTTGAAAACCGTGCTTTGAAGAGGACGCTCCAAAGAACCCGGTAACCCTGTGCCCTCCGTAACCGCTCTCCGCCTGTCCCCTTCGCTTCTAGATAATTCCAAAGCCCTGATCTCGTTCCTGGTCTTTCTCATCATCGTGACGTCCATCGCCCTGATGGTCGTGCTCTATAAAATCTACGTCCTGCACAAGAGCAGGTCCAGGTAAGAGCTGGTTTCAAAGTAGAAAAAAAAAAAAAACACACACACACACACACACAACAAAAACCTAAAATAATCAGAATGAGGAAGGCAGGGAAGTGAGCCGTGAGGCGATGGCATGAAGCCCGGCTCCGAGAAGGTGCACATGGTCCCATGGGTTTACCTCCGTGGTCGGCAAACTGCGGCTCTCTGGCCCCTGGAGGGCGGCTCTTCCACAGAACACCACGGCCCGGGCGGGTCTGTGGGGAAGACGTGGCGATCGAAGGCGTTTACGTTTAAACAATGTGGCTCTCCAGAGACATGTCCGCCGTGGTGCCGTGGACAGTGGGCTCTGTGGACCCGTGAGTTTGCCGACCACGGGTTTATATCCGCTGCCGCCATTTCCCACGTCCGCTGATGGCGCTGTGGGTCTCGCATGACGACCGATAAAAGCATGTTCATCTCTGAACGGGGTGGGCCAGAGGGCCGAAGGCGAGGCCAGGGCCAGGGAAAGGGGGGCGCTGGGAAGGTAGATGTGTGTCTTTAGCCAGGGACAGCTACGTTTTATCAAAAACCAGAGTTTCACAGTAAAATAAATCTGCCTGTTATCTCAGCGGAGCAGCCAGCCCTGCGTTGGTTATTTTTTCCTTCCTCGTTTTTCCTTTGCTCCCCTCCTCTCCCCCTTCATCGTCTCCTCCCCCCACCCCGTTTTTCTTTCTTCCCTCCCCGGACCCCTTCCCGCCCCTTTCCTCCCTCCTCCCCCTTTTTAAATCCTTTCTGCCCCCATTCCCTCCTTCCTTCGACACATTCATTAAATATTAGAGGCCTGGTGCATGAAATTCGTGCACAGAGGGTGTGTGTGTGTGTGTGTGTGTGTGTCCCTCAGCCCAGCCTGCACCCTCTCCAATCTGGGACCCTTTGAGGGATGTCCGACCAACCAGTGGGATCGGGCCTGAATGGGCAGCCGGACATCCCTCTCACAATCCAGGACTGCTGGCTCCCAACTGCTCGCCTGCCTGCCTTCCTGATTGCCCCTAACCGCTTCTGCCTGCCAGCCTGATCACCCCAACCACTCCCCTCCCAGCCTGATCACCCCCTAACCACTCCCCTCCCAGCCTGATCACCCCCTAACCACTCCCCTCCCAGCCTGATCACCCCCTAACCACTCCCCTCCCAGCCTGATCACCCCCTAACCACTCCCCTCCCAGCCTGATCACCCCCTAACCACTGCCCTCCCAGCCTGATTGATGCCCAACTGCTCCCCTGCCAGCCTGTTTGCCCCTAACTGCTCTCCCCTGGAGGCCTGGTCCCCCCTAACTGACCTTCCTTGCAGGCCTGGTCCCCACTAACTGCCCTCCCCTGGAGACCTGGTCCCACCCAACTGCTTTCCTATGCAGACCTGGGTCTCCCCCAACTGTCTTTCCCTGCAGGCCCGGTCGCCCCCAACTTCCCTCCTCTGCCGGCCTGGTCACCCTCACTGCCCTCCCCTGCAGGCTTGATCATCCACAACTGCCCTCCCTTGCAGGCCTCCCTCCCAACTGCCCTCCCCTGCAGGCTTGATCGCCCGCAAATGCCCTCCCTTGCAGGCCTGGTCCCTCCCCCCACTGCCCTGCCTGCTGGCCATCTTGTGGCGGCCATCTTGTGTCCCCATGGGGGCAGCCATCTTTGACCACATGGGGGCGGCCATCTTGTATGTTGGAGTGATGGTCCATTTGCATGTGGCTCTTTGATGAGGTAGGGCGAGTTGAGAGCCCGCCTGATGCTCTGCTTCAGAATGGAAATGTGCATTTCTTCTCTTTGCAGCAATTTGGATGAAGAGCAGGAGCTGGTGGCCAGGGGTACGTATGCCGTTTCTTTCACCGATGAATTACGCTCCCCGCACATCTGAATCCATTCATTCTATCTATTTATATCTTATTTCCGAGAGGAGGGGAGTGGGAGAGAGAGAGAAACATCCATGATGAGAGAGAACCGTGGACCGGCTGCCTCCTGCAGGCCCCACACTGGGGATCGAACCCGCCACCCGGGCCTGTGCCCTGAACTGGGATCGAACCGTGTGCTCTCGGTTCACAGGCCGACGCTCAGCCCCTGAGCCATGCTGGCCGTGCTAAACCCATCTATTTTCTTTTTTTTAAAAATATATTTTATTGATTTTTTTTTTTAGAGAGAGGAAGAGAGAGGTATAGAGAGTTAGAAACATTGAGGAGAGAGAAACATCCATCAGCCGCCTCCTGCATGCCCCCCACTGGGGATGTGCCCGTCACCAAGGTCCATGCCCTTGACTGGAATCGAACCCGGGACCCTTCCGTCCGCAGGCCGACGCTCTAGCCACTGAGCCACACTGGCTTCGGCTGAACCCATTCATTTTCAATAAGAAAACAACACTTTTTGTTTATTTATTTATTTTTTTAAATCTAACCTGGACCGCCTCTGTAGAGAGGAGGGCAGCGCTTGCGTTTGCTGACTCAGCCAGCAAGGATGGACATCCCAAGGTGTAAGCGTAGCGTGCGTGCGGCCCCCTGAGGCAGAGGCGTGCCCGGGCGGGGCCCTCACTCTGCCGCCTGCGCGCAGATGACGAGAAGCAGCTGATGAACGTGGAGCCCATCCACGCGGACGCCCTGCTGGAGACGTACAAGAGGAAGATCGCGGACGAAGGCCGGCTCTTCCTGGCCGAGTTCCAGGTGAGGACCAGGGGCCGCGGGGTCCGGGCCGCCGTGTTGCCATAGAGACGGTGACCGCTGGCGACGGGGAGACCGTTCTGGGTGAACCCGCCCAGACCCTGACCGCGGGGTCCCTCCCTGTCTCTTCCAGAGCATTCCCCGCGTCTTCAGCAAGCTCACCATCAAGGAGGCGCGCAAGTCCTTCAACCAGAACAAGAACCGCTACGTGGACATCCTGCCCTGTACGTGGTGGCCCAGAGGGGGGCCCTGGGTTCTTCCGTATTATTATTATTTTTTAAATATATGTTATTGATTTTTCACAGAGAGGAAGGGAGAGGGACAGAGAGTTAGACCCATCGATGAGAGAGAAACATCGATCAGCTGCCCCTTGCACGCCCCCCACTGGGGATGTGCCCGCCACCAAGGTCCATGCCCTTGACCGGAATCGAACCCGGGACCCTTCCGTCTGCAGGCCGACGCTCTAGCCACTGAGACACACCGGTTTCGGCCAGTATTTTTTATTCTTTAAAATATATTTTATTGATTTTGTACAGAGAGGAAGGGAGAGAGATAGAGAGTTAGAAACATCGATGAGAGAGAGTCATCGACCAGCTGCCTCTTGCACACCCCCCACTGGGGATGTGCCCGCAACCAAGGTGCATGCCCTTGACCGGAATCGAACCCCGGACCCTTCAGTCCCCAAGCTGATGCTCTATCCATTGAGCCAAACCGGTTTCGGCTCAGCCAGTATTTTTTTTTTAAATATATTTTTTATCAATCTAAGAGAAGAAGGGGGAGAAAGAGAGAGAGAGAGAGAGAGAGAGAGAGAGAGAGAGAGAGAGAGAAGCATCCATGATGAGAGAATCATTGATCAGCTGCCTCCTGCACGCCCCCTACTGGGGATGGAGCATGAACCCCCGGGCCTGCGTCCTGACCGGGAATCGAACCGGGGACCCCCAGGCTGCAGGCCGGTGCTCCGCCCGCTGAGCCGGCCGGCGCAGGCGGTCCTTCGCCACTGACTCTTGTTTCTGCTCTCGGGACAGATGACGACAACCGCGTGGTGCTGTCCGAGGTCAACGGGGACGCGTCGTCCAACTACATCAACGCCAGCTACATCGACGTGAGTGCAGGCCCGCGGGCGGCCAGTGGGGGCGCCCTCCCCACTCCGCCCTCCGCCCTCTGCCTTCCGTTCCTTCCTGGCCATGGCAACCTGTTAGAACGATTTCTTTTTCTCTCCTTTTTAAAAAAAAAACACATATTTTATTGATTTTTTTACAGAGAGGAAGGGAGAGGGAGAGAGAGGGAGAGAGAGAGAGAGAGAGAGAAGCATCCGTGATGAGAGAGAACCATGGACCAGCTGCCCCCTGCACGCCCTGGTGCCGCGAGGTTGCCAGGAGCTAAAACACAGAAACGGCCCGGCCGGTGTGGCTCCGTGGCTGAGCGTCGACCTAGGAACCAGGAGGCCAGGGTTCGATTCCCGGTCAGGGCACAGGCCCGGGTTGTGGGCTCGACGAGGCGTGCAGGAGACGGCCGATCCGTGATTCTCTCATCATGGGTATTTGTGTATATACCTCTCCCTCCCCCTGCCTCTCTGAAATCATTGAGAAGCATGTTATTAAAAATACAGGAATGCCCACGTGAATTATCCTTCTACACTGCTGGGCCGTAGAGGAGATGCAAGTCTCGCTTGTTTTTAATTGTCTTGCGTGTCGAGCAAAGACCCACGCACACAAGCCATGATGGTTGTCTGTAAACGGCCCCTGACATGGTTAGCACGGTCCAATGCCATGACGGTTGTCTGTAAATGGCCCCTGACACGGTTAGTGCGGTCCACTGCCTGGTGCCTCGCTCCCTGGAAATGCCCAGCGAGATTCACAACCGAGAAACAGCGGCAAAGGACCGGCCTCTTCCCCCTATTCCCGAGCCCCCCGCCCCGATTCTGCCGTGAGGGAACGCCGGGCGTTGCCTTGACGACGTGCTGTGTGTGTGTGTGTGTGTTGTGCAGGGTTACAAGGAGCCCAGGAAGTACATCGCCGCACAAGGTAACCCCCCACCCCCCACCCGTCCCGGGCTCCGCCAGGCACTGTCCGGGTGCGCTCCAGAAGGGGGTCTGAGGTTGCGTGTGTCCCCTCCCAGGTCCCAGGGAAGAGACCGTGGACGACTTCTGGAGGATGATCTGGGAGCAGAAGGCCACGGTCATTGTCATGGTCACTCGATGCGAAGAAGGGAACAGGGTGAGGGCTCTGAGGCGGCTTCCAAAAATGGGGACTTTTTAAAAACGCCTCAGGATGCGGGGCGAATGGTTAAAAATCGGGCCTGTCCCGCCGAAAGCGGGACGTCTGGTCACCTTACTTGTATGGCTCCTGCCTACATGTATGTGTATGTGTGCACACGAATGTTTACTCGTGATGAACACGTGTGACATTTGTGCATGTGTATATACACACATGTTTGTGCATGTGTGCACATGGATGTTTACACGTGACAGGCATGTGCAGTATTTGCATATGTGTAAACATGCATACGCATGTGTGTATGTGTACATGGATGTTTACACGTGGTGGATGCGTGTGGTATTTGTGTGTATATACATGTGTATTTGTGCATGTGTGTACACGGATGTTTATACGTGATGGGCACGTGTGGTATTTGTATATGTATATACACACATGTATGTGTATGTGTGTTCATGAATGTTTACACACGACGGACACGTGCAGTATTTTGTATGTAAGTGTATATGCACACATGTGTATATGCGTATACACGGATGTTTACACGTGACGAACGCGTGCCGTTCTGAACACCGGCGTTGCACGCTCTCTCGCCGGCAGAACAAGTGTGCCCAGTACTGGCCGTCGGGGGTGGACAGCGCCCGGGAGTACGGGGACGTCCTCGTGAGGGTCACCGACCACAAGACCTGCCCGGACTATGTCATCCAGAAGTTCAGCATCACCCACGTGAGCGCCGTCCCGACCGCATCTCTCCGCGCCGCTCGCCCCAACGCATCCTGGGAGGCCGAGCGGCTACGCTCGGGGGGAACCCAAAACACGCCCTCCTAGTGCATGCTGGGAGGTTTGGTTCTTGGGAAACTAAGTAGGTTTTTAGAAACTGGCTTTCGCCCGGCCGGCGTGGCTCAGGGGTGGAGCATCGACCTAGGAACCTGGAGGTCAGGGTTCGATTCCCTGTCAGGGCACACGCCCGGGGGGCGGGCTCCATCCCCCATAGGGGGCCTGCAGGAGGCAGCCGGTCCATGCTTCTCTCTCATCATGGATGTTTCTCTCTCCTTCTCCCTTTTACTCTCTGAAATCAATAAAGAAATACATATTTTTTTAAAAAAGAAAGAAAGACCATGCAACCATGGTCGAAAGAAGCATGCACTGCGGGGGGGGGGGGCGGATTATTGTATGGATGCCCCCACCCCTGCCGTGCATGTATTCTGCCTTGGGAGATAAAACACTCGGCTCAGCGCACCCCTTCTCTCCGGCCAGAAACGGGAGAAGATCGCGGGGCGGGAGGTCACCCACATCCAGTTCACTAGCTGGCCGGACCATGGGGTCCCCGAGGACCCCCACCTGCTCCTCAAGCTGCGCAGGAGGGTCAACGCCTTCAGCAACTTCTTCAGCGGCCCCATCCTGGTGCACTGCAGGTGAGGGCCCGGACCCGGGCCGGCCGGGCTCTTGCCCCCGGGCCTCGGCCACACCGGGGACCCCAGGGCCGGCCGGGTACCTGCCCCCGGGCCACGGCCACACCGGGGACCCCAGGGCCAGCCGGGCACCTTCCCCAGGGCCTCGACCACACCGGGGACCCCAGGGCCAGCCGGGCACCTTCCCCAGGGCCACGGCCACACCGGGGACCCCAGGGCCGGCCGGGCACCTGCCCCTGGGCCACGGCCACACCAGGATCCCCTGGGCGCAGACACTCACTCGCCTCTCTCTGCTCCACCCCCCGTCGACCTCGGCTCCCCGTGACCGCGCCTCCCCCACCGTGTCCCCTGCCGTGTCTCCGTGGCCAGCGCCGGCGTCGGACGCACCGGCACCTACATCGGCATCGACGCCATGCTGGAGGGGCTGGAGGCAGAGAACAGGGTGGACGTGTACGGCTACGTAGTCAAGCTTCGGCGGCAGCGGTGCCTGATGGTCCAGGTGGAGGTACGGACGCCCCCCCGCCCCTTGCTGTTCTCTCCCCTTTTCTTCCGGCCTCCATCTTTTGGGGATGGCACTGGGGATGGGAAAAGAGGTCCCAATTCCGCCCCTGCCGGCCGGCCGGCGTGGCTCAGGCGTGGAGCATCAACCTGGGAGCCAGGGGGTCGAGGTTCGATTCCCTAACATGGCACAGGCCCCGGCTGCAGGCCTCCTGCGTTCAGAGATCATCATCATCTGGCCGCTCCGTGTAGATCGGTGATTGGACCTACTGGCCCAGTCATAGACACGGAAGGAAGTAACAGATGTAGGTGGTTGTTGTTTTTAATTTTTTAAAATATTTTATTGATTTTTCACAGAGAGGAAAAGAGGGATAGAGAGTTAGAAACATCGATGAGAGAGAAACATCCATCAGCTGCCTCCTGCACGCCCCCCACTGGGGATGTGCCCACCACCAAGGTCCATGCCCTTAATGGAATTGAACCTGGGACCGTTGAGTCCGCAGGCTGATGCTCTATTCACTGAGCCACACTGGTTTTGGCTGTTGTTTTTTTGTTGTTGTTTTTTGTTTTTGTTTTTGTTTTTGTTTTTTTAATTTTTAAGAGGAAGCTAAAAGGTAGGCACGACACAATAGATGCCTCATCTCTTTAGCTAGCAATGTTTTGTTTATTCTGGGGGGGAAAAACACAAAACCACAAGTCTGCGCCGAACCTTGCTCCTGTTCCCAAGAACTGTGAGAACCACCTTCCAGAACCTGTACATGGCAGAGACCACGGTGTCCTTTTCCATGCATCGCCCTCCCCTGAGCCAGACTCCAGGAAACTGGCCCGTCTCCATGGGACCGAGGAGGGCAGACCCACCCGCTCCGTCCGTGATCTGCGTGTTTCTCCCGTGAATCTGCAGGCGCAGTACATCCTGATCCACCAGGCCCTGGTGGAGTACAACCAGTTCGGGGAGACGGAGGTGAGCCTGTCCGAGCTCCACCCGTACCTGGCCAACATGAAGAAGAGGGACCCGCCCAGCGAGCCGTCCCCGCTGGAGGCCGAGTTCCAGGTACGGACCGTGGTAACGGAGACGGTGACGGTGACGGTGGCGATGGTGACGATGGTGATGATGATGACGGTGATGATGAGGGTGATGATGGTGATGATGGTGATGGTGATGATGATGATGGTGATGGTGATGGTGATGATGATGACGGTGATGATGATGGTGATGATGGTGATGCGTACAGATGACCTCCATGGGGTGCTCCCTCCCATGCTGTGGGAACCTCCCAACCACTGGGTAGACGCGTCCAAACGTAGAAATCTGATTATAAAGCCAGCGCTGTCCACCGTTCCTCACTCAGCGGGTCTACAGTAAAGGCTAAAGGTAGCCATAGAGTCCTCGCTCATGTTGCTCTGTGGATAGAGCATCGGCCTGCGAACTGAAGGGTCCCGGGTTCCATTCTGGTCCAGGGCGCACTGAGTGGGTTGTGTGCGGGCCCGATCCCCTGTAGGAGGCATGCAGGAGACAGCTGATCCGTGGTTCTCTCTCATCATGGATGTCTCTCTCTCTCTTCCTCCCTCTCCCTCTCAATGTACCAAACCTTCCTGTGAACCACCCAACGGGTCCATTCAGAGGGTGTCACATGACCAGGATCCTACTCTCCCATCAGATGCAGGGTCAGAGGGGGGTTGAGATGGGAGTGGAGGGGGAGCCGGCCAGGTAACACAATCCCAGGCCCACCTGCCCTCCAGCGGGGAGTTAGTTTCCGTCTCGGTGTCTTCCTTGTTGATTTATTGCTTTTTCCTGACAAATTCCCCCCGACCCTCACCAACACACTCCAACGGAGGAGGCAGGAAGGAGCAGCGGTGGCAGGAAGACCGCAGCTGGGGGTTTTGAAGGAGAAATAAAATAAAAATAAAATGTTGAAGGGATTGCTGGGAGAAGAGGATTAGGATTGGGATGGATGCAAGTTTGCTAACTAATGGCAGACCATGGCCACCAGAGGGCAGACTTCAGCATTGATTGATGGATGGCTGCTTCCAGACAATGATGGCAGGATGCAAGTTGCAGAGAGAGAGAGGGAGAGAGAGAGAGAGAGAGAGAGAGAGAGAGAGAGAGAGAGAGAGAGAGAGAGAGAGAGAGAGGAAGTTCAGTTTTGAATGCTGTCCGGTGAGAACTAACAGTGGACTGAGCTGAGAAGGAGAGGTGTGAGAGGCACGGGTTTGGCTCAGCGGATAGAGCGTCGGCCTGCGGACTGAAGGGTCCCGGGTTCGATTCCGGACAAGGGCATGGACCTTGGTTGCGGGCACATCCCCAGTGGGGGGCGTGCAGGAGGCAGCTGGTCGATGTTTCTCTCTCATCGATGTTTCTCCCTCTCTCTCCCTCTCCCTTCCTCTCAAAAAAAGAAAAAAATGAAGTATCAGCCGCTCTCAGCCTGAGCCTGCCTCCTGAGCGGGCTCTCTCTGGAGAGAACATTCTGGTGGCTCCTGGCCACGGTGACAGCGGCAGCTGTGGGGCCTGGGGCTGGTATGAGGGAGGAGGCGCCCTGAGTGACAGACCGTGTGGGTCTGGCGCCAGCTCCCCGGCCCCAGGCTCTGAGCGCCGGGCAGCCACGCGGAGCCGGGAGCCGGGAGCCGGGAGCGGGGAGCCGGGAGCCGGGAGCCGGGAGCCAGGAGCGGGGGGACGCGGCGGGTGTCCGGGTCCGAGGACAGGCCGGTCCGGGGCCTCTGGTGCCGCCGCCGGGCCTGAGCCCCGTCCCACCGGCTCTGTCTTCCCGCAGAGACTCCCCTCGTACCGGAGCTGGCGGACACAGCACACGGGGAGCCGCGAGGAGAACCAGAGCAAGAACAGGGCGTCCTCCGTCATCCCGTGTAGGTGCCGCCCCGCCGTGCCCCGTCCTGCCGCGCGCTTCATGGGGGGCTCGGGATTTGATTCGTGGAAGACACACACTCACACACACACACACACACAGACATGCCCCCCACACACTCACACACCCATAAACACACACCCATACACATAAACACACACACGTCCCCACGCACACATATACCCATAAGCATACACACAAACACACATATAAACACACATAAACACACATACACATATACACACAAACACGCGCACACATAAACACACATAACATGCGCATAAACACATGCATGTGCACGCACATGCATGCCAAGATACACATTCACACACACATACTCACAAACATACATATACGCACACATACAAACACAAACACATATGCACACACATACACACAGAGAGAAACACACACACGCGTGACCTTAAGGCAAGCGTTGAACTCTGGGTTGGGTTGGCCGTAGGGACTGGCCAACAGGCTGTTTAAAACGAAGGCCTGGCGGCCGCTTTGAGCCCCCACATTCCTGATGGACTTGGGGGGCCCACTGTGCCCCTGTGTCCCCCCCCGCCGGTGAGCTCAGAGGCGGGGGGTCAGGCAGGCGTCACCTCTCCAGCCGGAAGGCAGACACAGGCCACGTTCCCCCCAGGTCTGCCTCACCGCCCTTTCCCCCCCCCCCCCGCTGTGTACCAGGCTAGTTCATTCCTGGAACATTCTTTACGAATGCCGTCGAAAATAGGACATTGATGGGGTTGTAGCTCACCAGATCAGGCTTGATCGGGTCATTACATTTATTTTTCATCGAGAAACTGAGGAATTAGAACTAAATTTTTTTTATTATTAAATAAAAATTTATTGGAGATACGGATTCCATGGACAGGTTAATTATTTGTTAATAGAATAGAATTGGGGGGGGGGAATGGGTTTTTACCTAAGCCATGTAGTTTATTATCGTATAGATATATTTTTTAAATATATAACAAGCAGATGGCTAATGTCCCGTGGACAACTCGTCTGTGCGTTCAGACTGAGCGATCCCATGGGAAATTATGACCCCTGTGTGTTGGTTAACCTTGAATCCTGTATGTCCCAGGCATGTAGCCTGGGTCCTGTTTGGGGGGCCTTCCTTGTCTCAGACTCCTGTTCTGTGATGTGCGAATCGGTAAGAACAGGGCTTCGTGTCCGATCGAATCCCACGTCGATCCGTGCATTGACATCGGATTCTGACGCCGCGGGGCCGTCCAGCGGGGACATTTTAAAGGGACGCTGACCCCTCGTGTCTCCTGCGCAGATGACTTCAACCGTGTGCAGCTGCGGCACGAGCTGGACGTGAGCAAGGAGAGTGAGCACGAGTCGGACGAGTCCTCGGACGAGGACAGCGAGGCCGAGGACACGGGCAGATACATCAACGCCTCCTTCGTCACGGTAGGCGCCCCGCCGCCAGGGCCCGGAGCCTGGCCCTTTAAACGTGCCATCGGTGGCGTGATGGCCATTCTCACGTGATCTTGTTTTACTTATGTATGTTTTCAATACACCTTTATGGATGTCAGAGTGGGAGGGAGAGAGAGAGAGAGAGAAACACCCATGAGGAGAGACAATCATGGATCAGCTGCCCCCTGCACGCTCCCTCCTGGCGATGTGCCTGCAACCAAGGCACATGCCCTTGACGGGAATCGAACCCGGGACCCTGGAGTCCGCAGGCCGATGCTCTATCCACGGAGCCACACCGGTCAGGGCTCAGATACCTTTGCAACAAACTGAAAATTCAAACAAGAACCCCTTCGTTATTCAGTAAAAGCTTTTTGCCTATCTACTAAGTGGGACTTAACTTTTTTCCCCAAATTCTCCTAAAACCCAAGCATAGACTTTTAACTCAATGGCTAGCAGCCTTACGGCTGAGTAGACACCAATAAAGCAGAGACATCGCAAAGACCGTATGAAACGCTGATGGGACTTCCCTTTACAATCGCACTAACGCCAGGGGTCGGCACACTGCGGCTCTGGAGCCACATGCGGCTCTTTGGTCCCTTGAGTGTTTAAGGAGTCCTCCTCATGAAGTTAATAACAGTGCACCTCTATAACAATACCTTATATAGATTACATTTAAAAAATGTGGCTCTTGCCGAAACCGGTGTGGCTCAGTGGATAGAGCGTCGGTCTGCGGACTGAGGGGTCCCAGGTTCGATTCCGGTCAAGGGCATGCACCTCGGTGGTGGGCACGTCCCCGGTGGGGGGTGTGCAAGAGGCAGCGGATCGATGATTCTCTCTCATTGATGTTTCTGACTCTCTATCCCTCTCTCTTCCTCTCTGTAAAAAAAAAATCAATGAAATATACAAAAGAAGAAAGAAAGAAAGAAAGAAAGAAAGAAAGAAAGAAAGAAAGAAAGAAAGAAAGAAAGATTAAAAAAAAAAAAGTGGCTCTCCAAAGAAATGTCAACCGTCGTCCTGTTGATAGTTGGCTCTGTGGACGAATGGGTTTGCCGACCACGGCATTAACCGTCTAAAAAAAACACAAGGCATCTTGGGAAAGGGATCACGTGTTAGCTTGTAAGGGGGGCTCTGGCCCTGATCGCACCTTCGCCGCTCAGTGCCCTCCATCGTTTGCAGGGAGAGATCACGCGATTCCGTGGGCCTGAGAGTCTCGCTCCTTTTCCAAGGCAGTCACGTGGGTCTCCGTGGCACGTGGCTGCCTTTCCCAAACGGCCGTTCCCAGAACCCACTGCTCTTGGTGATGAGAGGGCAGGCGGAGTTGTCCTCCATTCTGTAACTGAACCCTAGCCCTCACCCAACCCATCAGGGCTAGCCGAGGCAGTGACATAACCACCGACCGGCGTAAAACCCCTGGGCTGGGCGAAATTCGCTCTCTTCCGCCATGCTGCCGGCGTGGGTGGGACGGGGCCCATGCTAGCACGGAGAAGGCTCTTTTGTTTATTGCATCAGACTCGGCTCCCTGGTGGTCCTTGGGGATCACCAAGTCTGGGCGTAACAGTGACGGAGTCCCATTTGTGTGTGTGTGTGTGTGTTTTTAAAGAGTTACTGGAAGCCTGAGGTGATGATCGCGGCCCAAGGACCCCTGAAGGAGACGGTCGGGGACTTCTGGCAGATGGTCTTCCAGAGGAAGGTCAAGGTCATCGTCATGCTGACTGAGCTGAGGAGCGGAGACCAGGTTTGCACTAAGTTTAGCTTCTGCGAGAGGCCCGGTGCATGGATTTGTGCACAGGTGGGGGCTGATTGGGCAGAGACTACCATTGGCCCCGCCCCCGGTTGGGGCATGGGAGCCAATCAGGGGCAGGGCAGGGCAGGGCAGGGCTGGCCCGGGGGAGGGGCCTTGGGTGGTTGGCAGGCCAGTCAAACTCCCGGTCAAGGGGACAATTTGCATATTACCCTTTTATTAGATAGGATTTTATTTTTTATTTTATTTTATTATTATTTTTTAAATATATGTTATTGATTTTGTACAGAGAGGAAGGGAGAGAGATAGAGAGCCAGAAACATCGATGAGAGTCATCAATCAGCTGCCTCCTGCACACCCTCTACTGGGGATATGCCCGCAACCACTGTACATGCCCTTGACCGGAATCGAACCCGGGACCCTTCCGTCCCCAAGCCGACGCTCTATCCATTGAGCCAAACCAGTCTCGGCTATTTTTTTTTTTAATATGTTCTTATTGATTTTAAAGAGAGAGAAGAAGGGAGAAAGAGAGTGAAACATCAATGATCAGAATCCTGGACCGGCTGCCTCCTGCACGCCCCACAATGGGGATGGAGCCCGCCACCCAGGCCTGTGCCCTGACCGGGAATCGAACCGTGGCCTCCTGGTTCCTAGGTTGATCCTCAACCCCTGAGCCCCGCCGGCCGGGCTGTGGGATTTTTTAAAAGAGATACGTGTTTACGTTTGCAGCAGCCCCTCCCTTCGTCTGAATGGTTTCCGCCAGTCGGTGGCCGGAGTGCAGGCAGGGATGGCCGGTGTGTCCGACGCTGGGGGGAGGTAGTTGGTAGAGAACCATCCGGAGAGAGGACCCCCCTCTGTCAGCCCCCAAGGCGGGGAGTCTTCCCCCTCCCCCGGGGGCCACGGGAGGTGCAGAGAGGCCCACCTCCTGGCAAGGTCGTGGCCCACAGGCCACGCTCTGGGGAGAGCCAATGACAAGGCGTGGACGGGAGGAAGGAAGGCCAGGGTCCCACGGCGGAGCCGGCAGGGCTGGGCCTGGGGCTCCCGTCACCCCGGTCATTCCCAGGCGCCATCGGCCCGCATGGGGAAAACACCACGCACAGGTTGAAGGCGTGTCTACCACCCTGAACACAGGTGTTAGCGTTTTACAAGTTTTCGGTGTGTTCAGGTTGAGAACCCAATCAGAAGGCAACTCAATTTTCATCGAATGGAATGGGGTTGGGGGGGGGGGGAAATGAGGAGAGAGAGAGAGAGAGAGGGACGGAGAGAGGGAGAGAAAGAAAGAGAGAGAGAGAGAGAGAGAGAGAGAGAGAGAGGACACGGACTACAGTTTGTTGTTGATCGAAAGAAAGAGAGAGAGAGGGAGAAAGAGAGAGAGAGGGAGAGAGGACACGGACTACGGTTTGTTGTTGATCGTGTTCTCTCTCTCTCTCTCTCTCTCTCTCTCTCTCTCTCTCTCTCTCTCTCGCCCAGGAGGCCTGCGCTCAGTACTGGGGGGAGGGGAAGCAGACCTTCGGAGAGATCGAAGTTCACACGAAAGAAACCATCCCATCCGCAGGCTACACCCTCCGTGTGTTCGAGCTGAGACATTCCAAGGTAGGCGAGCGGTGCGTAGGGTGCAGACTTTTTCTTAAAAAATGTTTTTATTCCTTCCAGAGAGAGAAAGGGCCAAGGAGAGAGAGGAGAGAGAGAAGCATCGATGACGAGAGAGCTTCAGGGATTGGCTGCCTCCTGCTCGCCCATCACTGGGGTTTGAGTCCACTCCCGGCCCCGGGCATGCGCCCTTGACCGGGAATCCTACCGTGGCCACCTGGTTCGTGGGTTGATGCTCGGCCCCTGAGCCACGCTGGCCGGGGTCTGAGGGTAGATCGTTGATTTAAAAATATATATATATATATTTTATTGATTTTTTTACAGAGAGGAAGGGAGACGGATAGAGAGCGTTAGAAACATCGATGAGAGAGAATCATTGATCGGTTGCCTCTTGCACACTCCCCTCTGGGGATGTGCCCGCAACCAAGGCACATGCCCTTGACCGGAATCGAACCCGGGACCCCTCAGTCCGCAGGCCGGCGCTCTGTCCGCTGAGCCACACCGGTTTCGGTGACGGAAACAAGCTGGTGTGCGGATGGACACAGGGGACTCTGTGAGAGAGGAGCCGCCATCCGTGTCCCCCGTTCAGGACGAGGGGTGGCCATGGTGCCCGGAGAGTATGCAGTGCAGGGAGCCTGCTGGGCTGCCCCCCTCGGTGGGCTGCCCCCCACCCCCCCGGTCCCCCGAGCTCACAGCCCCTCCGGTTCCAGAGGAAAGAGCCCCGCACGGTGCACCAGTTCCAGTTCGGCGGCTGGGACGCGGACGGGCTGCCCACGGCGCCCGGGGAGCTGGTCGCCATGATCCGGGACCTCAAGGAGCAGCTGCCCCCAAGGAAGGCCGGCGAGGGGAGCAGGCACCATAAGAGTGTGCCCGTCCTGGTGCACTGCAGGTGGGTGGCCCGGAGAGGGAGCTGGGGGCGACCAGGCCTGCAGGGAGGGCAGTTAGGGGCAACCAGGCCTGCAGGGAGGGCAGTTAGGAGTGACCAGGCCTGCAGGGAGGGCAGTGGGGGCGACCAGGCCCGCAGGGAGGGCAGTTAGGGGCGACCAGGACTGCAGGGAGGGCAGTTAGGGGCGACCAGGCCTGCAGGAAGGGCAGTTAGGGGCGACCAGGACTGCAGGGAGGGCAATTAGGGGTGACCAGGCCTGCAGGGAGGGCAGTTAGGGGCGACCAGGCCTGCAGAGGAGGGCAGTTGTGGGTAACCAGGGAAGCAAAGGAGGCAGTTATGGGTGATCAGGATGGCAGGGGAGGGCAGTTAGGGGTGACCACGTCTGCAGAGGAGGGCAGCTGGGGGCAGCCATGCCGGCAGAGGAGGGCTGTTAGGGGTGACAGGGCCAGCAGGGGAGGGCAGTTAGGGGCAAACAGGCTGGCAGAGGAGCAGTTAGACATCAACCAGGCTGTCAGGGGAGTGATTAGGGGGTGATCAGGCAGAAGCGGTTAGGGGCAATCCGGCGGGCAGACAGGCGAGCAGTTGGGAGGCAGCAGTCCTGGATTGTGAGAGGGACGTCCCAGATTGGAGAGGGTGCAGGCGGGGCTGAGGGACACTTCTCCCCACCCCACCCCCCCACCCCCCAATGCACGAATTCCGTGCCTCCAATGGGATATACAATCACCGCATCTTAATGCTGAGCAACTCGGATTTGAAAACCGTCAGGTGGTGTTCTAATCCGACCCCAAAAGGCAAATGTTTTCATAATCCATCGCACCTCGTTTTACGAGTGAGCCGTGGGGACCCGTACCTTTCCTCTGGGACAGATGCCTGGTCTCCGCCGTAAAGAGGGGAGGCCTGCGGGGACGCGTTTGCAGGAAAGTGTTAGGATACGCGAGGCATGGGAGCCCCCTCACACACCTCAACTCCCCGGAAGGCCTCACTGCGGTTATTAGAATCGCACGTTCTAGAAGCGGGCCCTTTTCGGCGTGTCCTCGCGTCTGCCGAGGAATGTTCACTCTGTTGTTCTCCCCATGGCACGCAGAGTTATTTTTTTGAGTCCTTCCTCCTCTCTGCAGAGATGGCGCGCAGCAGACGGGGCTGTTCTGCGCTCTGTTTAACCTGCTGGAGAGCGCGGAGACCGAGGGCGTGGTCGACGTGTTCCAAGCGGTGAAGTCTCTGCGCAAGGCCCGGCCCGGGATGGTCTCCACGTTCGTACGTGCCCCTCTCCCCGCGGCTTCGGGCGCGTCCTGCACGTTTTTTTATGTTCGCCGTGTCTTCCCCCAGCCCCCTCCCCGCCCCTCCCCTCCTTCCTTCTCGCTCAGGTTGCTATTCCTCTGTTTCTTCCGTTTTTACGTGATGGTTCACAGCGGGCTAACTCCCAGTCTCCCCGTCCGAACTCCCGAGGGGACAATGTGCGTATGGGCCTTTTGTTAGTGAAGATCCCTGATGAGAATTTCCCAGCAGCCGAAACCGGTGTGGCTCAGTGGACAGAGCGTCGGCCTGCGGACTGAGCCCACAACCTGGGCGTGTGCCCTGACTGGGAATCCAACCAGTGACCCTTTCATTATTTTCTTAAATACATATTTTTATTGATATCAGAGAGGAAGGGAGAGAGAATTATTATTATTGTTATTATTATTGTTATTATTAAGTCTTTATTGTTCAGATGATTACAATTGTTTCTCCTCCCCCCCAATAGCTCCCCTCCACCTGGTCCCCACTCCACCCTTCGCCATTACCCACCCCCGTCCTCATCCACAGGTGTATGATGTTTGTCCAGTCTCTTCCCGCACCCCCCCTACACACAGACACCCCGTTCCCCCTGAGGATTATCAGTCCCCTCCCCTCTACGCCCCTGATTCTATTCTACTCGCCAGTGGATTCTGTTCCTCCGATGCCCAATCCAATTGCCGTTTAGATTCGCTTGTCCATGGATAGGTATCTGTTGTTCCTCATTTTCAATCTTAACTTTTTTCCTTCTTTTCCCCAACATTCTCGACCGAATTTCTCTCCTCTTCCCTCGGCCAGGAGCAGTACCAGTTTCTGTACGACGCCATTGCCAGCACCTACCCGGCCCCGAACGGGCAGGTGAAGAAGAATCCCAGCCAGGAGCCCCCCGTCGCCCCGGATGGCGAGGCAGACAAGCCCACGCCCGAGGCCAACTGTGTGAGTCCGGCCAGCGGCGGTGGCCCCTCAACGGCCCCCGCGGAGACCAACGAGGACCAGGACGGCCCCACGCCCGGCAGCAGCCCCGAGGGGGCGGACCGCGCGGCCAACGGCCCCCAGAGCCCGCCGCTGACCACCAGCGCGTAGGAGAGGCCTGGGCGGGGCGGCCCCCAGCCCCCTCCGGATGCTGTTTCTGATTCTCCACACACGGGAGGACTCCGGGGGGGCCTCGGACTAGTGCGGTATTTAAGTCAGCTCTGTACAGCCCCGGCTTGTGTTAAAGCTCTATCTCCCCGCAAAAGCAACTTCTTCGTGGTCGTCCTGGCGTGTGCGCGTGGGTGTGTGTCTGTGTGTGTGTCTGTGAGACAGAGAGAGAGAGGAGGGAGGGATTTCAAGGGAATCTACTTGCCTTTTTGGATGTATTTTTTTTTAAAGACACAAACAACATTTTTTGTCTTTGTTTTTGTTTTTGTTTTGTTTTGTTTTTTACTGCAAGTGTTAGCTTAGAGCATCTATTTGCTTACACCATGCCTGGCGTGCCTGCTGGAAGAATGACAAGTGTGTTTCTGCCATGACCTGCAGGGGTCCTCAAGGTTCTATCCACATACATCTCACCGTGGACTGCGCAAAAGGGAAAAAGACGTAAAAGGGAAAGAGAAAAGTTATCGAAATCAGCGAGGGGAAACCTTATCGTCCACATGTTAGCAGTTTCCGTGCGGCCTCTCGGCCGGCTGGTTTCACCTCATTTAAGAATTTGAAATCTTGAAATCTGGGATCTTTTCCTCACAGGGCTGTTTACATTTTTTAAATTTTATTTTGGTTTTTGCAAGAAGTGCTCTTTCTTTTATAGGTCTGTTAGAATGGAACTTAAAGAAATAAAATAAAATAAAATAAACAACGTCTGTAACCAAACGCAGGCTCTCTCCCGTCCGTGGTACAGAATAAATATTTGCACAGAAGAGGAATACATCTTAATATTTGCTTGCAGGTAAAACTGTGTGATGCGACTAGCTGAAAGTCTGCAATGATCGTCTCATTTTATTTTAAATACTAGAGGCCTGGTGTGCGGATTCAGGCACCAGTGGGGTCCCTCAGCCTGGCCCGCGGGATGGGGCCGGAACCAGCTCTCTGACATGCTCCGAGGGGTCCCGGATTGTCAGAGGGCGCAGGCCAGGCCAGGGGAAGGACCATAGCAGGACTCCATGGCACGCCCAGGCCATCTCGCTCAGTCCCCAAGAGCTAGACCCCAGCAGGAAGCTAACCTACGAGTCAGCTCGTCTGCCCCCTGGTGGTCAGTGCATGTATACGCCACAAGTAGACCAGCATACTGGCCCACCAGTAAACTGCCCCCTGGTGGTCAGTGAGCACCACAGCAAGCAGTTGAGCAGCCTTAGCATATTATCAGATAGTATGCCTTCGCTGGTTCATTGGACAATGGAATGAACAGACATTTGGCATACTCGGCTCTTATTCTTTTAAATATATTTTGATTAATTTTAGAGAGAGAGGGAGAGGGAGAGACTCTATGGCCAGGGCTGTTACCATCAATAAGAGATGCTATTGCTCAGGCCTCACAGGCCCCAGAGAATGACACTCAATAGTGTGGGCCTGTGGCCAGCAATAGGAGGGACGCCATTGCTCAGGGCTCCAGCCCCCATGGAATGAGACTCAATAGTCAAGGCCTGTGGCCCCAAATAAGATGGACGCTATTGCTCATAACCCACAGCCCCCACAGATTGAGACTCAATTGCGCGGGCCTGTTGCTGGCAATAAGTGACGCCACTACTCATTGCTCTCAGCCCCAATAGAATGAGACTCAATTGCACAGGCCTGTGGCCCGCAAAGCAAGGGACGCCATTGCTCAGGGCTAAATGTCCCGTAGAATGGGACTCAATTGGTTGGGACTGTGGCCCACAATGGTAGGGACACCATTGCTGAGGGCTCGCAGCCCCCATAGACGGAGACTCAATTGCGCGGGCCTGTTGCTGGCAATAAGTAAGGCCACTACTCATTGCTCTCAGCCCAATTGAATGAGACTCAATTGCCCAAACCTGTGGCTGCCAATAAGCTACACCGTTGCTCAGGATTTGCAGTCCCAATAGATTGAGAGTCAATTGCCCCGGCCTGTGGCAGGCAATAGGAGGGACACCATTGCTCAGCGCTCATGGCCCCCATAGAATGAGACTCAATTGCGAGGGCCTGTGGCCCGCAACGGGAGGGAGGCCATTGCTCAATGCACGCAGCCCCCATAGAATAAGAATCAATTGCCCCGGCCTGTTGCTGGCAATAAGTGACGCCACTACTCATTGGTCTCAGCCCCAATAGAATGAGACTCAATTACAAGGGCCTGTTGCCCTCAAGGAGAAAGACATCATTGATTACGGCTCTCAGCCCCATAGAATGAGACTCAATTGCTCAGGCCTGTGGCCCCCAATAGGATGGACGCCATTGCTCAGGGCTCACAGCCCCATAGAATGAGACTTAATTGCCCCAGCCTACGGCAGGCAATAGGAGAGACGCAATAGCTCAGGGCTCACAGCCCCCATAGAATGAGACTCAATTGCGTGGACCTGTTGCTGGCAATAAGTGACGCCACTACTCATTGCTCTCAGGCCCAATAGAATGAGACTCAATTGCCCAAACCTATGGCCCACAATAAGATACACTATTGCTCAGGACTTGCGGCCCCCATAGATTGAGACTCAGTTATACGGGCCTGTGGCCCGCAATAGGAGGGAGCCCAATTCTCAGGGCTAATAGCCCCCATAGAATGGCACTCAATTGTCCGGGCCTGTGGCCAGCAATAGGAGGGAGGCCATTGCTCAGGGCTCGCTGCCCCATAGAATGAGACTCAATTGCTCCGGCCTGTTGCTGGCAATAAGTGACGCCACTACTCATTGCTCTCAGCCCAATAGAATCAGACTCAATTGCATGGGCCTGTGGCAATGGCGTCTCCTATTGCCGGCCACAGGCCCACACAATTGAGTGTCATTCTATGGGGGCATTTAGCCCTGAGCAATGGCGTCCCTTGTTTTGCGGGCCACAGGCCTGTGCAATTGAGTCTCAATCTATGGGGGCCGCAAGTCCTGAGCAATAGTGTATCTTATTGTGGGCCACAGGTTTGGGCAATTGAGTCTCATTCAATTGGGCTGAGAGCAATGAGTAGTGGCGTCACTTATTGCCAGCAACAGGCCCGGGCAATTGAGTCTCAGTCTATGGGGGTTGCGAGCCCTGAGCAATGGCCTCCCTCCTATTGCTGGCCACAGGCCCGGACAATTGAGTGCCATTCTATGGGGGCTATTAGCCCTGAGAATTGGGCTCCCTCCTATTGCGGGCCACAGGCCCGTATAATTGAATCTCATTCTATGGGGGCTGTGAGCCCTGAGCAATGGTGTCCCTACCATTGTGGGCCACAGCCTCCTCCCCCCCCCCCCAATTGAGTCTCATTCCATTGGGGCATTTAGTCCTGAGCAATGGTGTCCCTCGTTTTGCGGACCGCAGGCCAGAGCAACTGAGTCTCAATCTATTGGGCCTGTAAGTTATGAGCAATGGCCTCCCTCCTATTGCGGGCCACAGGCCCACACTATTGAGTGTCATTCTGTGGGGGCTATTAGCCCTGAGAATTGGGGTCCCTCCTATTGGGGGCCACAGGCCCGGGCAATTGAGTCTCATTCCCTGGGGGCTGGAGCCCTGAGCAATGGCCTCCCTCCTATTGCGGGCCACAGGTCCACACAATTGAGTGTCATTTAATGGGGGCTGCAAACCCTGAGCAATGGCATGTCTCCTAATGCGGGCCACAGGCCTTTGCAATTGAGTCTCATCCAACTGGGCTGAGAGCAATGAGTAGTGGTGTCACTTATTGCCAGCAACAGGCCCGAGCAATTGGGTCTCATTCTATGGGGGCTGCGTGCATTGAGCAAAGGCTTCAGTCCTATTGCCGGCCACAGTCCCACCCAATTGAATCTCATAGTGTTGGGGCCTGTGAGCCCTGAGCAATGGAGTCCATCCTATTTGGAGCCACAGGTCCTCACAATTGAGTCTCATTCTACTGGGGCATTTAGCCCTGAGCAATGGCCTCCCTTGCTTTGGGGGCCACAGGCCTGTGCAAGTGAGTCTCATTCTATGGGGGCTATTAGCCCTGAGCAATTGCCTCCCTCCTATTGCGGGCTACAGGCTTTTGCAATTGAGTCTCATCCAATTGGGCCTGAGAGCAATGAGTAGTGGTGTCACTTATTGCCAGCCACAGGCCCGAGCAATTGAGTCTCATTCTATGGGGGCTGCATGCATTGACCAATGGCTTCCGTCCTATTGCCGGCCACAGTCCCACCCAATTGAGTCTCATTCTATGGGGCCTGTGAGCCCTGAGCAATAGCATCCATCCTATTGGGGGCCACAGGCCCTGGCAATTGAGTCTCATTCTATTGGAGCATTTAGCCCTGAGCAATGGCGTCCCTTGCTTTGGGGGCCACAGGCCTGTGCAATTGAGTCTCATTCTATGGGGCTGCGAGCCCTGAGCAATTGCCTCCCTCCTATTGCTGGCCACAGGCCCACACTACTGAGTGTCATTCTATGGGGGCTATTAGCCCTGAGAATTGGGGTCCTTCCTATTGGGGACCACAGGCCCGGGCAATTGAGTCTCAATCTATGGGGGCCGCAAGTCCTGAGCAATAGTGTATCTTATTGCGGGCCACAGGTTTGGGCAATTGAGTCTCATTCTATTGGGCTGAGAGCAATGAGCAGTGGCCTCACATATTGCCGGGAACGGGCCCGAGCAATTGAGTCTCAATCTAGTGGGGCTGTAAGTTATGAACAATGGCCTCCCTCCTATTGCGGGGCACAGTCCCACCCAATTGAGTCTCATTCTATTGGGGCATTGAGCCCTGAGCAATGGCGTCCTTCGCTTTGTGGGCCATTGGCCTGTGCAATTGGGTCTCAATCTATTGGGGCTGTAAGTTATGAGCAATGGCCTCTCTCCTATTGCTGGCCACAGGCCTGAGCAATTGAGTCTCATTCTATGGGGCTGTGAGCCACTCGCCTGCACAATCGAGTCTCATTCTATTTGGGTTGCGAGCCATAGTCAATGGTGTCTTTCTTCTTGAGGGCAACAGGCCTGGGCAATTGAGTCTCATTCTATGGGGGCCATGAGC